CCTACCACTGCGGGCTTCCTGCTTTCCAGGGGTGGTTCTTGAGGATGATCAGACACCCCAGCCATAATAGCGTGTGACTCTGCCAAGTATCTCACAGCACTAGGCATATTGGGTATCATGGATGGACCTGTGCAATTATAGATTTAAACATAAGTTGACGTACCCGTGGAGGTTCCGAGTAGTGTTTTAGAGTCCCCATGCTAATTTCTAGGACATCGACATAATGGCCGTTCTCTCCTTGTTAAACACTGCATGGAGGCTGGGGTGGCTCCGGAGGGCACCACGGCCACCCAGATCGGCCTGCTGGTGCCCTCCCCCCTCCACCCCTTCCCCCAACCTTACCATCTTACCAGCCTATGTTGTAGCCAGAAGTTATGTTTACTCGTCGGACGGGGCGTCAGACAGGTAACTTAAGTGTTTAGAGTTGTATAAAGCTGGTTGTTTTCTCTGATACTTTATAGAGACTGAAGACTTTTCTATTGTTTTGTTGTGATGTGCATATTTTATATGTACTAATGTCTTTTTTCGAGATAGGTGAAATCGAATTTTACTAGATCATATTTATGTTGTCTGTTCAATATAATGTTTATATATCCTTACAGCAGAATGTTATTAGTTATAGCTTCTTAATGGAATGCGCATTACTTCTCCATTATCAAAGAAAGTTACAGTAGGGAGTTGCTTGATACACACTTGCTTAGTTAACCTGTAGCTACTCACAGTTTAGAGCTCTCAGTACCATACCTGTCTCCCTCTCTCTCCTCCTAATTATTATTCCTTGTCTCTTTTACTCTTTCCCCTTTTGATCATCCTACAATGTGTCCCACAAACAGATGTGAACTGCATCTACTGTAGGCAGGGTCAAGAGGCCCTAAACTTGCCCCCTTGTTGTATATGTAGAATGGGACCTTTTGTATACAAGCTGCTAAAAGGCAATGGATTATCAGAAACTGGTGCCACTATTGTTAATAGTTCATCATTGTACACATTAATAATCCCAATATATGAACAATGCATCACCAATCTTAACAATCTAACAATGCAATCATATTCTTTTGAAGTCAGTTTAAGACTCATTTCAGTTGATTTTCAGAATCCAGTTCTAATTTCATAAGTATGCTTTTTCTGGTATATTTTCTTTGCATCATATTGAGACCTAATCCAATAAGCAATTTTGGATTTTTGTGTAAGGAAAAATTTGTATAGTTGCTCTTCCTATCATTGTGATCCGCTCCCTAATTGGATGTTTTCCTAACTTCTAATAAAAATAAGCTTATACCTCATTTTGAACTGTTACAAAGATTCAGAGCTCATTCAGAACAACTCTGAACTTCATATCCAGTCATCTACATACTTTAGGAAAATGTGGCACCAAATTCTTGACTTATCCATAATAATCCTTGAACCAGTAGAGCTTCACAGTCAACCCTGCTGGGGGGGCGGTCAGCTGCCATAACCCTGGCGGTGAACTTCAATCAATGATGACGAAGGAGCAGTAGCTACAACTCGCATTAAAAGCTGAGTTAGACAGCTCATAGTTCTGAGTATTATAAAGTGATTAGCAAGCGTGATGCTTACAGATTCACTTGATGGTGAGAATCGGCTGTATGGCACAGTTTTTTTAAAGAAGGAAGCTAATGCTAGCAAAACAGTATTGTCAGTTTTGTTAGTGAAGCTGCAATTAATGAATGTCACAGTCAACTTTGCTGGGAGGGGTTTGCAGATTCCAGTGACTTCATTTTTCAACTTTGCTAGAGTAGGCAGCTGCCGCTACAAACCTTACAGTCAACCTTGCAAGGGGAGTTAGCAACTGCTAAAACCCCATCTGCCCGGAGCATTACTCTTGGTTAGCAGTCATAGTTCCAAGCATTTGGTTCTTCAATAAAGTTGATTTTGATATTGCAAATTGAAGTATTTTACACACATATATAAAGCACACGAAAATATTTTTCCATTGAAAATGCATAATGTAACAAGAGGCGCTTGTTTCTGGTCATGTTATGGTGTGAACATGGGCTAAGAAGGCCTCCACTAGAAACAAGTCAAACAGAGAGAAAAAAAAAAGGAATCCTGTCGTCTTACACATAATCATCAGTCACTTACTCGTTGGTTGTGTAAACTCAATTTACCTGTGGGAAATTATTTTTAAAATAATATATGACATAGTTTTGATACAAAGAAGACTGATGAATCTTAAACTTTATTGAAGTGCTAGACTATGTAATGGGTCATGATTGGTAACCATTTAAGCATTTTAGATTAAGTTAATTGTGTCAGTAAAGGGGGGTAATTTGAGGAGCAAGATTGACTGCTAGGTAACGAGGCACAAGAGGGTTGACAGTGAAGGCAATGTAGAGGTATAATACCCTGAAACAGTTATTTGTTTGTAATTAATATGTATGAAGCCTAGAAAAAATCATTTTAATGTAACCAGGGTTAGAGCTCATTTCAGAGATAAAGAGGAAAATTATAATATAAAAAAAAGAACTTTTGGCTTGTGTAACATACTTATAAAAAGGTGGACTGTACATCACAAGATAAAATAAAGATCCTACGGTTGTTTCCTGCGGTGGCTCTCCTGAACCGAATCTCCACCTGACCTGAGCAAGGAAGGCGCTGTGTGGTCAGCTGGTGACCCGGACATGGCGAATAGCCACGACCAGAGACCACCTTCATTATACAGCCACTTGGGATTTTAAATGAAAACTGTACTCTAAGTATGAACTGTTAGATATTGTAATGACTTGTTATAACTTTTGTGATCACACAGTAGAGGGTACTCTTTATAGTAACCAGCTCTATTTACAATTGCTAGTCTTCGGTATATCCTGGGTTTTTTTTCTGTTTTTTCTTTTTTTTAGGTTCAGTAGACAGAGACGTTGTTTTATATAATATAAACTTGGGTGATCTTGTGTGTAATTACTCTTGCTAAATGTTATTGTGCACTTCGGTTTATGATGAAATGTGTTGTATAGAATTGGTGTCCATATCCCTAACAAGGTACCAACCTTGGTATCATTGCTTTACCAGTTGGTCTTAGGTGGTGAATTATCAAGAAACTGCATTTCTTTTTTCTTTTAAATAAACATACCTTATAATAAATTAAGTTTCCTATGTAAAAAATGCAAATCAGATTTTATGGGTATATATGATGTAGATAGAGTAAAAAAATATCCCCTTGATGTATAAGTGCTGACAGAATCCCATGATAATTGAACCTAAGTATATAGAATTCTTTGTAAAATTCAGTGCAATAATATTTTAAGACAAAATCAGAATAAATGAATTCCAGAAGACCACTCAAAATACATGTTTATATGCATTACTTGTGTAGGGATCCTTCTGTATTAGTAAAATCTTAATCTGTTAGAAATAAATCCATATGGGCATAACTGATCAATTAATAATGTAGATATAAAATACTGTTTCAATTAATATTAATGAAGAATTAATAATCACTAACAAAGAAAGAATATCTTAAAACTAGTATATCTAAATTGTGCCCATCTATGAATGAGATTAGTGGTGTCGATTGTTTCATACCATTTAATTTCTTTTTAAAATCTTAATTATCAGGTCTTATGTCACTTGTCAAACAATATGCATTGGTACAGTTTCCAGACGGCAAAAGAACACTCACACAAACAAAAATATGGGGGGTCATTTTATCCCAATTACCTTCAACTTTTTATCATTCTGAACCTATTAATCTTCCACGTTCTGATAGCTCTCACTCATTCCAGTAAATTAGGTGCTACACTTGCATTCCGGGATCAGTTTGTATTTCATGTTGGCACCACTGTACGTCTCTGTCTGTTGTTCCAAAAAATTGCCCCATTTTAGTCAGTTATAAGAGGACGAAGCACCGAATGTAACTTTGCATTTCTAGAGGCAATAAGGAAATATAGTTAATATACTGTAAAGTTCTCGTGTTGCAAATTTATTAAATAAAACTGAGAAACTGCTGTAATGTTGTTATTAAACCTTTCTGTTAAACACTGTTGATTCCTTAAACTTTGAAAATAGTATTATGATAAGTAACTAACTTTTAGTTAAATGAAGCTGCAGATCAACATGTTAAATGTGTTATGGTAAAAGACTGCACCTCAGCCTCTCCTGGTTATTTCCTTGAGAGAGAATATTAGTCATCAGCCTATAGTAGCAGCTCAGCAATGACACAACACTTTCCATAAAGACAGTATTACCTCCTTTGCTTATGGATCAGTGTTATTCTGCTACATTCAAAGTTAATACTATTTGTGGTTTGGCCACAGGTGCATCATTAAGCAAGATATTATTTGGTACAAGAATGAATAAAAACAGGGCAACTAGTGTTATCAAAGATGACTGGACCTTCATATTTTTTATATTAAAATTAATCTATTATGATTTTAAAAGAAATATAAAGAAACATCACTTCCATCAATATTCTTAAGCAAATGTAAATGTTAAAATGAATATGGGGGACTTAATCATCAATTATTATAAAGCTACTAAAGTGAAAACTAACAGAGGCCACAGTAGAAAAACATGGTATTTATGGAGCATGTAATGAACAGTAAAGAAGCATTTGAAGTTCCTAAAAATAACTTGGATATTATATACTTTGCAATGACATACAATTCATAATATTACTTGATATGAAGAAAAAAAAATCTCCTTCACAATAAGCCTTATGGTAAAAATGAACATAAATAACCCATGCATAACAATGGTACTTCTCAATTTTACACAAGTGAAATTAATTATGCACTTGGTGTCTCAGCACTTACCAATATCATAAGATTTGAATAACGGAATTTTCACAAAAAAAAAAAAAAAAAATCTGGATCTTACTTAGACCTGCCCTTAATAGACAATCATAACTAGATGACTGTAAGACTATAGCATTGAAATGTCATAACTTGTCAAAATCTCACATCATGTAGTGCAAGTTTTGCAAAGAAATGCTTTTTATTGAATGAATTAAAAAATTTACATTTGGTCAAGACAAAGTCAAATTAATGTAAGTCTTGTTTATTTTGTTTATGGTAATACATACTACATAACTGATTGATTCCTGAATCCTTTGACAGCTTTTTAACATCTATACAACAATCACATCCATTCAGAAACAATATACTATAGAACAAGGCATGGTATCACTTAGTAAAAAAGCTGTAAAGGAATTGTTGTGAAGACCATCAGAAAAATGGCATAATCAGTTTAGTCTACATGAAGTATAAATACATGTTATATTCCTAAAGAACTATTCATACAGTAAAAGTTTAACCAAAAATGTCCCCTTCCTACAAACCACATTCCAGCCCGTTGTGTAGATGCTTCACATCACAATTGTAAAAATCACTGAGAATATTACAGGCTTTCCACAATCCAAGTACATAATTCTAACCATAGTAAGTACAACAATAGTGTATGACCTTCCCCTCTATAAAAACAAATAGGGAAGACCTATTAATTTTTCACTATACATGTAATGCTAATGGGGACTATACATATCATATCTGATGCTAATATAGTGGTTTCAGGATTATTACATTCCATAAAAAAGACAAGCAATATATTACATATTAGAATATGGGGTCATTTTTTGTTAGAAGTTAGCAGCATATTAATTATGCAATATTCCAAAATGGTCTGCAATCAAAATGATGCCTAAAAGAATCACAAAATCCTATAAATGGACAGTGAAAAGAAGAAAAAAAGAAGAGGTTCCTTTGTAAGAAATACAAATAAAATTCTTCATTTACAAAATAACAACATGAGAGCTTTATGATAATAAAAAAGGCTTATACCAATTGGAAGTTAAGAAATATAATACTATCTTACAACTTTGTACGCTTGCTAGGAACATAGTGGCTGGGGGTGCCATAATATGCAATACCAGTTGCACAACGCTCTTGCACAGTGGTGGCATCTACCTTAGGGGTACCATCCGAGGAACGCTTAGACAGAGGGACAGCCAGGGGATCTCGCTGCTTGAGGATCTCCACATCCTGTAGCACCACCTGGGAACCTCCTCCGGCCGTAGGTAGTACGTCGCCCTGAAGAAGAGATAGAAGTGTTTAGTGAAGCACATGGGAATTTCAGAAGGGAGGGAGGGTAAATGTGAATGCAAGTTAGCTGAGATATTATAAGATGGAAAGACACAAAGAGGGAGAAGATGAGGTTCCATTAGCCTCAACCAACTAAGAAACCAGATTTAAATAAGGGAATACAGCCCTTTTAAGGCGAGGTTCAACTGGTCTTGTGTCCAAGCGCCCAGCCAGGTTTAGTGTTTCAGTTGTGAAAAGCACCAGTGTAACAGACTGCATATGGCTCTTGCTTAAATAACACCACGCATAGTATTTCTTGTTTGAGCAAGAAGGACTTATTCCCTGTTTCACCATATTTTCATGCATCATGGCATGTGTATTTGGAAGAAAGGAGCACGGAAACTGATACATCAGATCCAAAATTATTAACACATCTGACAGGCCATCAAAACGAGTGTAGATCCTCGGTTTCAAATTAGCCATTTCTAGTTTATTTGTTTTTGATAATAAAAAGGGAATTTTGTGATTATTAACTGTTTTATAAAAAAAAATCTCTAATATAACTTTTGTTGACTTTGTAGATATTGATTTCTTTAAATGACTTGCACAATATTAAATTGCACCCTGGAAAGCCTGGTGATACCCACAGAAAAAGAATGGTCTGAGTTGTGTTATTGCTGGCTCCCCTCAGCCCCCAGATTTTGCACCAAAGTGACCGATTCTACCCAAGTAGCCACACTTATGACCTGTGTGTACACAAGACCAGTTGAACTGCTCCTTTACCTATGCCTTGATTCACTATATGGGTGAGCCAAACCTAGAACATTGTTTGCCCAGACATTTTTTTTGTAGGGAATAATGATCTTCAGTTATGCTTTACTTAGCTTTTTCTTACATATTACTATATATTTATATAACATTAAAAGGGTTTGAAGGCAGCCTAGTTATACCGAGTCCAGAAGAACGTAAGAGCAATATAAGCAATACAGTATGTTGGGTGGGCAGAGGTCTAATTCTGACTGCTGGAATCCAAGCTTCAGAGGAACGGATAAAAGAAGATATGAATTTTTAAGGCTTCCTGAGCTCTAAATAAGGTGAAAAAGTAAATGTGATTATGCTAGGACTGGTAACAGAGAACTTTCATGAACTCAGCCCATTTGAAGAATGGAAAATAGCAGAGGCAAAGACCATTAAAACTGAGAACTTCAAATAATTATTGAGGCATCATATGTAAATACAAGTAAATATAATGTCAGGACCAAAACATATAAATCAAATTAGCAATTGTGCCACAACAAAGATATCCCAGTATAAAAAGACGATTAAATTCACTTGGTATGATGAATATGTAAAAAAAAAAATACTCTCATATTTCTTGGATGAATTCCCATTTTGGGAAAAGGTAATTCGACTGAAAAAAAATTCAAACTCAGTACTCAAAGAATGCATGCTTAACTTAAACAAGAAGCATGCTATAAAACACGCATGCAAATCTAATAAATACAAGATAATACAAAATAATGTATAACAGAATCAAGAACATATGAAATTCGTAACATAATTCCACCTTTTATTGTATACATACTTACCTTATTTCTCTATCAACTGAATGATACATGTGAAATTCAAGGCCTTTCCTTGAGTCAGACTAATTCCATAGTATGAAAATAGAAAGAAATACCTACAAACAAACCACCAGGGTAGAAAATACCACATTACATCAGAGCAACACAAGACCACCAATAAATACCAAATGGGAAAAAAAAGAAAAAGAAAAAAAGAGAGAACATGATTTATTACTATGCCTGAACCTAGTACCAAAAGCTCGTCTTATGAAGCTGTTGAGGAAGAGCAAAGCAGGGAAAGCAACACTTCATCATATCTGGTGAAGTTTGCCCCTAAGAGAAGCGATGGGGAAAAAAGTAACAGAAGATAACACAAACCATCACCGTCACTGCCTTTTAAACATGCATTTGACTCAAAATCCTTTAACAGCTAGGATTGCATGGCATATATGGCATGTCCATTGTGATTTTAATTCATTGTGTTTACACACAGATGGCTCCATAATTGCTTAGTCAATTACTTGTCCTATCAAACTCACCAACTTACCCTTTTCCTTAATTTATGTATTTTTTCTATAGCTTACTAGTATTATAACATCTTAAAAGCATAAGAAAAAACATTTCAACTGAGGTCACATTGGCCCTACTAATTGGCTTGCAGGTGGCTGAGCATTTGTGGAGCCATTTGTATGCAACAAAATTCACAAAAAAAGGTCAATAGTACATGTATCCTCACCCAATGGATTAAATAAAAGATTAACGTTACACCATTAGGTACAAAATCAGTCTAACTTTAAAGTAAGATGTTCTTTTCAAGTGTCCAGTATTATATTCATTCATTAATCAACAAGCAAAAACCAAACAGAAAGGGACTGATAAATATTTGTGTATATATTTAATGGACTGAATAATCAGCACTTTGTAAAAAAAGATCTAAGTTTGGAATATCAAAAAGTTTTACATCACATAATACACAAATAAGGCAAAGCTATCTAAAGACCAGCTACAGAGAAATAAAGAAAAAGAACTTACAGATCACAGAACAGAAGCCAGCACAAAAGCACATGTTGTCCCCACTCAAGTACTTGCCAATTCATGTTCTATAAATGCATCAACATATACAAGTGTGAAATTTAGTTATGGAGGGAAAGTAAGCTGATCACTGCTCAAGGTACTGTTTTAAATGCTATTTTATGTTTTCCAGTAAAAATTGCCAGTTTCCAAAGAAAAGTAAAAGATTTTCTTTTTTAATTTAAAGAACATTTAAGTGGCAAAATCATTCAGCTGAATGTCACTTTAAAAAATATCAATCTACCAAGCCAATACTATCTAAATACAAGACCATACAGCCATACTTTTACCACACACTTCCTTTTCAAAATCCATTCCCCACACACTAAAATCTATAAAAAGACTACATATACAACACTATCTGCAACAAGTAAAATTTAGCAAATATCAATAAGTTGCAAACTGAGGCAAGATAACTGATTAGGCATTGATCTCTCCCTCTGTACATAAGGCTATAGGAAATTCTGTAGATGGTGTCTACTTCTTAAGAACTACACGTGTTTGATCCGATGCCACTGGGGATGGCAAGTACGCACATGCTATGCCCACTGTGTCTTTATTCATTAATGGCTCCACAAGTACTAAGTCACCAATGAGCCAATGACAAGTACTACCTATCTCACCTGTTTACCCTTTTCCTTGATTTTTGGAAATAATTTCTGGAATCTTTTATTGCTGTATATAATAACATCTTTCATAATAACATCATCAATAAAGACAGCATTAGGAAAAAAAAGAAAAAAAAATAATAAATAAAAAAATAAGTATAAAATAAAACAAAAAACAAACTCAAGGGAAGGTGAAATTAGATGAGGTTGAAAGTTCTAATTAACTCCTTGGCGGTTAAGCACTTATGGAGCCATCTATGTGTAGATACATTTCACAAAATTCTACAGCCAACACTACATTTTCCTGCCAACATGGGATTAAGCTATCAGTGTATCTGCATACCTAAGATATCAAATGTTCACATTGCTTAGTCATAACAACTTACTGAATGAAAAAATACCAAATCAGAGAAAATAAAAATTATAAAAATACAATTACTTTGTAAATTATACCAATTCTATATTTTTGCAATAAAACTCACTTCAGCTACCTTAAAGTGTCATCTATTGACACACTATACCACTACTTTATTCATAACGAAAAAGTTACAAATAAGTATTCATGCACATTGTTCCTATTCCTATTTTCTAGGTTGGGAAAAAAAGAGCTACCTGCACTTTCTCTACCAAGCCATTGCCTGTATCATGCTTATAATATGAACTAGAATAAAATAAAATACTGGAAGCTAAACATGCATACAACATATAAAACATGGGCACCTTCCTGTTTCAAGTTCAATAACCTGAAGATGAGAGCCAAAAGACAGATGGTTAGTTAGCATCTATCACTTGTTAGTATCATGCATGAACAACAGCCTCTAATACTTAAAGATCCTTCTAATACCTTGTACAACTTTGTTTCAAGTTCTCCCTCAGAGTCCTGCTGCTGAGTGGTCAAACAATAATTTGTTACACGACCATCAAGAAGGTCCCCACTGCGTAGTCTTGTGACAGACTTGCGTCGCGGCAAATTTGGCTGTAGAACTGTTCCAAGCGGTACCTCCTGTTGCCATACCAATCACCACACAACCAAGATTAACTGAGATCTTATCATGACACTCCACAGCCATGCATCCTTACCATCTAAGCTAATACATACAAGTCTCTACTTTGAATATCTGACTATCTTATTTTAATTATTACTATTATCCCAACATGAAATCTTTAGCACAAAAAAGAAAACAAATCAGACCTAAAACTGCTGTATAGCTCTACAAAACACTGAAAATAAAATACTTGATTTCCTTTCCTCTAAAAAAGAACTTTACAAATTATTTCTATTCAACTTAATGTCACAAAAAAAAATCAGTGTGAATATCCAAAAAATAAATATATATATAAATAAATGAATGACATACAAAACCAACATCTATGAAATTGCAAGAAAGACGAACATACCTGTCCTGGACGATGATCGAGCCATATATCAGCACCTTGAGATCTTGAACGTCTATGTCTTTGGTTTGAAACTGCAGGGCCCTAAAACACAAAACATTTATTAGCTTTTAATTTCTATTAATGAAAGTAATATTTCATATCATGCAAAAAGTAACCATAACATCTGACAGCAAATTATGGGTAAAAGAATAACTAGTTCAGTGCACTGAAGCTGGAAGTGAGGCCTTCAGTAACAAATATCTTTTGAACCATTTTTAAAAGGACCTACATTGTTCACATCAATACTCACTCTGAGGTCAGGAGTCAAGAATGCTTGGCTGACATTGAGTTTTGGGTCAGATGTAGATCCCTTGATGCCTTGGTTCTGGGAACCTTGACGAGGCTGCCTTAGGTCTGAATCTGAAGTTGAAGGTACTCGACTTCCAGGTGTTTGGTTGTCGTCCAAGAAAATCTCCTGCAGTGCTCGCACTTGACTGTGGTACATTTTTGACTGAAAATAATGATAATAAATCATAAACATTAATTACAGAAGTATATCTACATCTTGCCTAAAAAAATAAAAATCTATTCAACTAAATAAGTAAAGAGAAATAAAAGAAAGAAAGAAAAAGAGAAGAAAAACAATGAAACAAAATAGGTTTTTAAAAATCTGCTAAACACAAAATAGGTAAAATAAAAAACTACTCAAAAAATTTGATTACAAAATAGTCCAGGAAAATACAGATAATTCAAAAGCAACCTAAACAACTTCAAAACAAAGGCAAACACAATACCAGAATTACCTTTTGTTCACTTAGTTTCGTTTGCATGTCATTCTTCAATTTGTCCTTCTCAATCTCTAGCTTGCACTTCAAACGTGCTTTCATCCTCTGTTTCTCTAGTTGTCCCTGCGACTTGGCTATGTCTCTTTCTTCTCGCTGTAACAAAACACATACACATTAGCTAAGTAACTTTCTACGGAAATCAGTTACTTTCGCTTCAAGACAGTAGTCGTTTATTACAATTACTTAGTTGACTTTTAGTTTACATAACAATACAGCACTAGCTGATCAAGTACCAGAAAAGATATAAATTAAACAATTTACTTTCTTTCCATTGAACAAATAATAAGTCAGCTTAGTGCTTCTTAAACATATTTTGCTTCAAGCCTATACTCTAAGATGTTATCATAAAATTTACCCCTTCATAATACAACATTTACCAACTACATTCAGAACCCAGCAGATATGAATATTCCATCCCCTGAACTGCTTATGTGAACTTACCACAGCATTGCATTCATCAACTAGGTTGTTATAATCAGTAAATTTCCTCTGTAAACTTTCGTTGACAGATTCTGCATTCAGTAGCATGGATTCTAATGTCCGGACCTTTGCCATGGCATCATCATACAGTGATCGCAAACTCATGATTTCCTTCTTCATAATGAGGTTTTCCTTCTCCATCTCTACTACATTAGTGTGCATTGTTAGAACTGTAGAAAAAGCATTTATTAGTATCAAAAGGAAGGGACGGCTAACCAAAACATATATTCAATGACAATCTTTAACCTTTTCCCCCACAGGCATTGAGACTTTATAATAAAATGGTAAGTGTCAATGGGTGGTTAAAAATTTGTAGCTTACACTAAGTTCATTACAGGGTAATATATGTAATAGGAGAGTCACACAATGAACCACTGTATGTGGAACTACAGCATTTTAAAGTTGGCTGAGAGAGTCTTTTAATGTTTGCAGCACAAACATCTGAAATCACCTAACTAGCAATGTGTGACTTCAAAAACAGTCAGTCAAGCATAATAGCCTAACATTCTACCAGCACCTGACTTTGACAGGATAAACAATATTATCACAAACAACCAAGAGTTCCATAAAAGAAAAGAAAAAATATTATGCATTTGCCCTCTCTTGATCATTGAAAATTCCTTATTAAAAATGAACAAAAAAAGCCGGTAAGTTCCAGCTCATACTTACTCTTTCCTTTCAGTTCAGTCTGCAGCTTCTCTCTGTTGTGAATTCTCTTCTGCAAATACGCCTTGAGTTTCATAATGACATCATCCCGTGTCTCTGCTGTGTAACTAACAGCAGGCCAAGCTGGTGCCAGTGTGTATATGGGTGTCAGGTCCACTTCCAAGTTCTAGAGGGAGTAAGAAGGGGGAAAAAAAAATATAATAATAATAATAAATAAATAAATACATTTGACTAAAATTAATTCATGAATGGCTTAAAATGAAATCCTGCACAATACTTGGTAATCTATATTCATGACACGCATCACTGTGTCACAGAATCATCAAGTTCCACACTTTTCAAATATCTTTCTAAGTCATGTAAATGTGGAATTGAGCTATATCCTTACAATTTGCTCTTTGACCCAGATATACATCAAACTTTGCCATGCAATTTCTCCCAGAAACATAACCCCTTCTAATTTGTCATTTTTTCTGAAAGTACGTAGGTATATCTGAAAGTACTTACAAATATACCTTCAACTCACCTTGACATTCTCACCCTCCTCTTCTAACCTCCGTCGAACTTCCTTGAACAGCTGGTTTGCTCTTCTCCTTCCAGGCAGCAATCCAGGATCCTGTCTTGCCGACTGGACAGATCGTTGAACCTGTACTTCTGAAGCCAATTCTGCAAACTTCATCACCGGCTGGAATACCAAAATAAAATCTTAGACAAAATTCTATTTCATCATATTCATACATAATTAGACCTATAACCACACATACACACACAAAGAAAAGTAAAGTAAAGAACAGTAAAGGAAAAAATAATAAATAAATAAATATATAAATAAAATAATAATAATAATGATCCTTTTTCCTTTTTTAGTTTACAAAGTTCCCCTTTGCTTACCAGAGTTTCATCATAATCGTCAGCCTTAGGATTGACGCAAACAACCATCTTGACCTTGCCTTCTCCATCAAAATAGTTCTTGAAATAATGGGTCACCTTGGAGTCCCTGTATGGCACTTTCTTGGAAGAACCCGTCAACTGGTTCTCTCTAAGAACTTCAATGCAAGTCCTCAGGGTCATGAGAGAGTTGTTAATGTTGCCTGAAATAAAAGAATTGCAGTATAAACATGTGGAGGATGCACTATGCCCACATTTCTAAGCATGAAAATGAATGTGCAAGTATGTGTTTGTGTGTTCATGTGAATGTGTGTTTATGTTCGTACGTATGCATGTGTATGCACGTCTGTGCATATGCATATGGACGTGTGTTTATGTTCGTACGTATGCATGTGGGTGGGTGTGTCCGTGCGTGTGCATGTGGGTTGGTGTGTCCGTGCGTGTGCATGTGGGTGGGTTTGTCCGTGCGTGTGCATGTGGGTGGGTGTGTCCGTGCGTGTGTATGTGGGTGGGTGTGTCCGTGCGTGTGCATGTGGGTTGGTGTGTCCGTGCGTGTGCATGTGGGTGGGTGTGTCCGTGCGTGTGTATCTGGGTGGGTGTGTCCGTGCGTGTGCATGTGGGTGTGTGTGTCCGTGTGTGTGCATGTGAGTGGGTATGTCCGTGCATGTGCATGTGAGTGGGTGTGTCCGTGTGTATGCATGCGGGTGTGTATGTCTGTGTGTATGCATGCGTGTGTGTATGTACGTATGTGTGTATCCGTGCATATGCATGTCTGTGTGTATGTGTGTGTGTCCGTGCTTATGTATGTGTTTATGTCCATGCGTATGCATGTGTGTATGTATTTATGTCCGTGCGTATGCATGTGTGTATGTATGTCCGTGCATATGCGTGTGTGTGCGTATGTATGTCCTTGCGTATCCGTGTGCGTGCGTATGTATGTATGTCCGTGCGTATGCGTGTGTGTATGTATGTATGTCCGTGCGTATGCGTGTGTGTATGTATGTATGTCCGTGCATATGCATGTGTGTATGTATGTATGTCAGTGCATATGCGTGTGTGTGTGTATGTATGTCCGTCTGTATGAGTGTGTGTATGTATGTATGTCCGTCTGTATGAGTGTGTGTATGTATGTATGTCCGTGCGTATGCATGTGCGTATGTATGTATCTCCGTGCGTATGCGTGTTTGTGTGTATGTATGTCCGTGCGTATGCGTGTTTGTGTGTATGTATGTCCGTGCGTATGTGTGTGTGTATGTATGTATGTCTGTGCGTATGCATGTGTGTATGTATGTATGTCCGTGCATATGCATGTGTGTATGTATGTATGTCCGTGCATATGCGTGTGTGTGTGTATGTATGTCCTTGCGTATCCGTGTGCGTGCGTATGTATGTATGTCCGTGCGTATGCGTGTATGTATGTATGTATGTCCGTGCGTACGCGTATGTGTATGTATGTATGTCCGTGTGTATGCATGCGTGTATGTATGTCCGTGCGTATGCATGTGTGTATGTATGTATGTCCATGCGTATGCATGTGTGTATTTATGTATGTCCATGCGTATGCATGTGTGTATGTATGTATGCCCGTGCGTATGCGTGTTTGTATGTATGTATGTCTGTGCGTATGTGTGTGTATGTATGTATGTCCGTGCGTATGCATGTGTGTATGTATGTCCGTGCATATGCATGTGTGTATGTATGTATGTCCGTACATATGCGTGTGTGTGTCTGTATGTCCGTGCGTATGCGTGTGCGTATGTATGTATGTCCGTGCGTATGCATGTATGTATGTATGTCCGTGCGTATGCATGTGTGTATGTACATATGTCCGTGCGTACGCGTATGTGTATGTATGTATGTCCGTGCGTATGCATGCATGTATGTATG